TTACTTTTTACTTATTTCGTTTAAAAAAGGATGTGTCAGTGTTGCGGATAGCAGATGATTTTTTCAATGTAAACAGGGAGTAATCCTCTTTGAAGACATTTTCTTGGGAAAATGTTTTATGTGTCAGGCAATTCATTATCAAATAAAAATCACACTTTAGTATAAAGGTATTTTAAGATGCCTTCTCTTTAGTCTGTGGACAATTCAGTGCGATAATCTGACCTAAGTTTTCTCATCCCGGCTTTACTCTAATATAAGAAAACTTCTTCAATACTATGGAAACATCATATCGTGCATATATCTGTATCAAATATATCGGTTCAAAGCGTAAAATACCTTTGCAAATCGGACACGTAGCTACTTTACAAAATATTTTTTTTTATCTTTTATAATCCGAATTTGAAAATTTAAAGTTTTTTTAATGAAGAAGAATGACACTATAGATCGAATCCAGAAAATACATTCTGTAGACCTGTTCTCATCGTCGGTAAAGAAAAACCATAAGACAAAATCAGCGGTAAACGGCACTGAACATAAAAATGATCGAACGAACATCATACAGTACTTGCAAAAATATATCGTAGCTTACCCATTTATAATATCATTTAAAAAAATTAATGTTCAAAATAAATGACCATTTTTCCTGATCATGTATTAAAAGAGGAATAATACTTAATTTCATATACCGTTTTAAGTTTCAAATAAAAAAGCTCATCTGTTTTCATCGATTATTAAGAAAATTAATACAATAAATTCAGCGCGTAAAAGACATAAGTAATAACGGAATTGTTGTAAATTATACAAAGGAAGCCATGCAATTTGCGCATATGAAAAATGTAACCACCCCCATTAGTTTCGAACTCAAGGGAATAAGTTTATAGGCATGCTAAGGCAGCACTTAAACACGTACGTTGCCGCTCACGTGTTTCAATGTATTTGATACGCTTTATTTGGAATTTGACAGGTGCTAAAAATGCAACCGAAAAAAAAGCCTTAATAGAATTTTCCATTTTCGTGGGACCAATGAGTGACTTCTGCTCTCGAGATAAGTTGTATAGGTCACTTGTGCGCATTCAAAATGATCAAAAATTTGAAAACAAAGAAATGTTGTTGGACTTGAATAGCATATTTGAACCAATATACAGCCTGCAATGGAAATACAACTGCGTCGTATCATATATGTATACATGATGCAAAATTATATTTTGAAATTTATGGTGAATTTCGAAATGAATATATAATCGATTTGAAGGAAAAAACGATAGATAAAGCAATATGAACTGCGTCGTATCCACAAAAATTCATAAAAAATTCTGCTCCGCTTCGAGTTGTAAGTTCGCTATAACTTTTGTTTTACAAAAAAGTTGTGCAAGCAACATATACCGAACGAAGCGGAAAATAGAGGAGCGTGTTAATACATATATTTGGTTTTCAGTCATTTCCAACAAAAAGAGTTATAAACAAAAACATACCTTTTCCGTTCCAAAATGGCGGCGTTTATTTACATTTTGTAGGATACGATGCAGTTTTGATTTCCAGCCCTGTTGTACAGAGGTATATTTGGCAGTCAACAACCTGTGGACCACGTATTGGCCTACATCGTGAATGAGTAAAAAGCTGCTCGTGACGTGGTTAAAGTCTATAGGGTTAACGCACGTTTTTTCGTGTTATAACGTCCCGAGGAACAGTTGGTGCCCGAGCCCGGTAGGGCGAGGGCTCAAACAGTTCCAAGGGACGCTGCAGACTTTATAACACAAAATAAACGTGCGTTGACACTATAATATCATATTTAAAAAAAAGATTCATTATGTATATCTAATACAAAACACATACATTAAATCCTTGTGCTTGGACGGTATTTATCCACTTCTACATGTTTTGCGTATACGTTTTATTTTTCCGGGGTCAACTACTTGGGAAATACAAATGCTCAGAACCGTTTCAAATTGATTTAACAATGCTTAACATTGGAGATTTATTAACTCAACAATAAAAAAATAATTAAATTACTCTGCCCAAGACACACCATGACCCTCCGATATTCCTAGAAGGATTTCAGATTGACGGTAGAAAAAAGATCAGTGACATCAGAATCGTTTTAGTTTTTTTCAAGCTAACAAGTTTATAAAAGAATATCAGGCACTAAACATTATTCTCTCAAAGAAATATAAGGAGCATTTATCAATATAAACACCAATGAAACAACATTTTCTCATATTCATGTTGTGTTATCTTGTTTTGTAAGTTAATTTGAGGATTAAAACTAAATGACATTTATTGGTTTACATTGAAAACTGTCAGTTTCTTAGAAAGGATGACAACCAAGATTAGCGACGATGTCTATACGCCGTATTTCCGGCATAGTGACTTGAATACTGCTCACCGTTATGCGATTGAGGCCCTCGAATAAATAATTTCAATATAACACTTTGGCAAACAGGCCAAATCGTCATTTTTTTTGTTTGTTTACTGAGCCCTGTATGTATTGCGCATAGGTAAAACCGGGCTATAACAAGAGCACGTGACTATGTTAACACATGGTTTTGGTCCCGTTTTAACATGGGCAAAAGAGAGAAAAAAGAGCCGATTTTATGCTATAATACTTTTAAAGTTATACCATTACTTTTTTATTTATTAATATTTCTTGTTGGTATTTTTGTATCATTTAGGGGATAGATTCCAATTTATGTTCCATGTATTTTTATGTTATTGCTTTTAACAGTAAAGAATCATCCACAAAGTCCGGTTAATTTTTGATCATCCTTCGTATATCAACGACTCTTTGACGTTTAGTACAATGTCTAGAGCTCATTTGATAGTCAACATGAGTGAGAGAAGAAAGCCGAGCACTCCAAATCTTTAAATTCATTTTATTATCTTATTGCCAACAAGAAGCAATAATGTTCTTATCAGATCTGGTTTTACTATCTTTGGTCGTATATAACAGTGACTTGTAATAAGTGAATAACGTTTTTTTTACATTGAGAGTATGCACAACTCTATCTTAATAATCATTCCCATTCAAATTTGACTGAGTACTAATTTTAATTGGAGAATACCGAGGCGTCAATTACTATTAATACAATATTTGGTTCGAATCCTACCTATGCCTAGAGAGAAAAGTAAGCTGCGTAATTCAAGTTCTATTTCTCATAAATAATGGCAAATATTTCCAAAATAATAAAATGCTTCCTTCTCTTGAACACTAATCATTTCTAATCATCCTGCTTCAAATTACTTTTGTCAAACGTAATATTCTTGCTGAAAAAATCAAATGTAAAAATGCATAAGTCCATCAGGGAAGGTCTGTAGTTAGGTTGAAATTATTATAAATATACCATAAGTAGTTAGGTTGAAATTATTATTTATATACGTGATAACAGACTACGAATAAATTATATATGGATGATGTTGGTAAGTGTGAATTTCACAATCCGATACAACATATTTATGTATAGCTGATAAAAGTTGTTATAGAACATGATATTATTATACCCCCAATATATAATGTGAAGAAGACTATCATACTTGAATCACTGTGTCGTTTCAGCCGGTCCGTTCGTGATCGCCCTATTAATCATCATATACCCCTTGGAGGATTTTCTTCAAACTTCAAATACTCACCATAACAAGGCATTGTGTAGAACCCATGCAACTGCTGTGTGCTCAAGATCACCATTGAAGGTCAAATGTCTGGCAATTTTGTGTTGCTTCCTTTAAAAATCCTATACCATATGAAGAATTTTATTTTCTCACTCACTTTATATCATTCAAATGACTTTAAAAAAAATTAAATCCAATGTTTTCTTTGAAACATAATACACAATATATTGTGTCATAGAGATTCGTCAATGTATTTCGTGATCAAGTAATTGCTATCGTTTGCCAACTAAATAAATAACAGATACAATCCCCTTTATGGCATTGTAGAATATATACAACTGATATCATATTAGATATTTGTAGTTAAAACGTTGTCTTCAACATTGAATTTAATCATTTGAGCATTTGCCAATATATTGTGTTTACAAACTTTTGTGTATTATGTTGGCTCATATCATTTTAATTAGGTATTCAAACGAGCATTGTATACGAAACTATGATTAATTTTTCGGGATATTAAATAATGGTGAGATACTGTGTTAAATCATCAATATTAAATGAAATTAAAATGCATGTGTAAGGCGAAACACTATACGAGTACATTTTATTCAGCAGAAATTTGAAAAGGTAGGTTTATATTTTTTATTTTTCAGTTTGTTATAAAATTAGTCTAAAACACAAATACTTTTTCGTAAGATATATAGATACTGCATAATTATGATTTATTACAAACATCTCACAAACCTTTGTATATGGACTTATAAATGTACATCATTTTACATTTGAGTGTTTCTTTTTTCAGCCAAAATAAGAATTGCACTATTTACACATTTAGTTACTGATAACAATCAAGGGTCAGTTGAAAGTTAAAAACACTTTATACAATTTGAATAATATTGTGTTGTCTTGTGATCAATCATGTATTTGATTTTTGTCATCAGGTGATGCAGTTTACATGGAAAGTTGTACATGGAAACATTGTACTGTGCAACAAATAATCAACGATATCATATTATAATTAACAATGTCAGCAGCACAAGTGTTCGCTGAATAACGAAAATGATTTAGTAAAAAATAAGTAAAGCCAAATTGTAAGGCATTTAATACACATGAACAGATCTCTAAACTATAAAATGAATAAAACGGTACTTGAAACGCTCATATTAGAAACACATGGACAGTTTCAACACAATTTATGTATAAACATCGTTCCAGAACCAATCAATGCCTACATTTGTCCAATTCCTTACGATCACGACTATAATTTACCTATTTGTAAAGTTGTTAACAATGAAACATTACCAGCTCCTGCTATAACAATAAATGATTCAAATATTTTTGATGTTGACAATCTGTCGTCAAAAGTTCCCTCTGAAGTTCAATATGAAAGTTATAAGGATCATGATAAAAGGCTGTTGACGTTCCAAAATTGGGGAGGACGGAAACCAGATGCAAAGTCTCTAAACCAAGCTGGATTCTTTTACACTGGTAACATGTTAAATATAGTGGTTTTTTGTTTCCAATAAGAAACTTTAAAGAAAGTTAAATCTATAGTTTCCGATAGTATTTAAACAATGATAAAATAATTTGTACATACCATGATAAATTTATTTCTATTCAACGGTCCACATGTTTTAGAAATATAAAAACATTTTGAGCTCGACTTTTTTTTTTGAAAAAAAAAAGATGAGTAGAGGTATTGTTATAGTCCTGGTGGCGTTGCCGTTGCCGTCCGAAAACTTGTACATGGATTATAACTTTTTTAAGTTCTTGGTGTATTTTCTTTATACTTGGCCACAACAACCCTTGGGACAATACCTTGCAGTAAACTATACTAACATTGACCTTCATCTTTAAATGACCTTGATTTTCAAGGTCAAATGTCCAAATTGTGCTTGTTCTTGCTATAATTGACTATTACTTTGTTATTTTTAAATTGATTGTCTTCAAACTTGACCATGATAATCTTCAAGGATACCCCTTTAAATAAATCAGACAAACTTTGACCTTCACCCATGAATGACCTTGACTTTGAAGGTGAAATTATTTTCTTTTGCTGTATCTGGCTGGAACTTTGTCATTATTGAATGCATTGACTTCATATTACAACAGAACATTCTTAAGGACAAGACCTTTATGTATATTAATCTCAAAATGACCTTGGCCCTTTTATGACCTTGACCTTCAACGTTAAATTATTGAATTTTCACTGATTTGTGCATTAATATATATAATTGCGTCTATATATAAATATGTATACATATCTATTTTTTCTTCTGTAATACACATGCGGATATATATTGAAAGGATTTATACTTTGACAAAACTAATGTGACAAGACAGACCTGTTAAAATTATAAAAAGGAAATACAAGATTTGTTCAAATGTTTCTTTGTTTGTTTTTAGAAAAAGTAAAAAGTCGAGCGTTGCCCCCGCCCGGCGGTGGCTCTTGTCTAAAAGCAATTTTAGTTATAAGCTCGTACAATGTAAATTTCTTCCCTATAGTGCACTTATTTCAATTACAATAAAAACTAAAGCAAGTCTCTTTACTACAGGCGTTGGAGACACGATCCGCTGCTTCACGTGTGGCATTAATATTAAAGACTTTGCTGAAGATATGAAACCAATCAAGGAACATATTAGACATTCTGACCAGTGCCCATATCTGCTGATTCTTCTCGGTGAAACTAGGCTTGAAGAATGTAAGGTAAATGTCAAATGCAATGAATCTATCAAACTGATTTATTATTAGTTGAACTACGTAAATCAAAATGAAATACAACATGCATTATTTTCTTTATTCAATAATTCAATATTTTAAAGACTTTTTGACAAAATCACATTTAAATAGCATCTTATATATGTAAACCTATTTTATTTAGCAATTAGAACCGGAAAACATTTCAATCGCAGTGCCTTGTACGTACTGAACCTGTTGGGGCTAAGTTTAGTTTTGTTCACTGCTTACTTTCCATTCCCTCCATATTCCAATGGTAGCACTTCCTTCCGTGTTTCTCAATTTGATTTACAGTTTAAAATAGTGATAGCATTAAACATTGTATGTATTCATATTGTTTGATAATTTCCATTTCTTCTCCATCTTCCTTTTTTGTCCCCGTTTTGTGCGATGCATTCCGAGTCCATTCCGGTGTTAAGAAATGTATTCTTGCTAGAACGTACTTTTTCTGCATCTTCACTTACAGAAACACCTTCGTACCCACGATAGTGAATACAAAAAAGAGTCACAAACTCTAGGTAGGTTTGCTACTGTATTCAGGTACGTATATTAATATACGTACCTGCTGTATTGAAAATTTGTATTTCAATGTATTCAACGTGTTTCTTTTTCTCTTAACAGTTTATCTCCTTACTTTTATTTTGTTCAAGCTTTGTTTTTTTAATTTTGTTATCTTGAAAAACTTATCAGTCTTCTAAGATGCAATATATTACTTGTTTGTTTTATATCTGAAAATAGGTTTCGTTGCACACAATCGTTTCAAAAACAAAAACTATGCGCATAAGGCATTGTGTCTGATAATGATGTTATTACTTTTACATGAATACTAGTATATGAATAAAAAGTTCTTAACATTTTACATTTCATTTCATTGTAAAGAAACAAAGCAAAAAATTTGTCATCCAGATTACCAAAGTTTGGAAGCTCGAATGTCTTCATTTGCGAATTGGCGTCTAATATTGAATATTCAGTTAGTTGCCGATTCTGGATTTTATTTTACAGGTTCGTTTTTTTCTTTAAAATCACTTGTTTACACGTCTGTTAATATTTTTACACATTTAGTTTGATACTTTATATTAGTATATGTTAGTGCACAATTATGCTTGACTATAATATCTCTTCTTTTACATAAATCAATACATCATGTGTAATCGCAGTTAAAGACAATTTATATACATATATGACTGTCCTATCTAAATTACTTAAATATCGTGTTTTTTTTTATTTTCAGGCTTTGAAGCTGTGGTGCGTTGTTTTGCTTGCGATGGCCGATTCCGAAAGTTAAAATCTGTCGATGAAATATGGTTAGACCACTGCTACTTTTTCCCGACGTGTCCGTATATGGAATCAAGAATCGGGAAACGTTTCATCAAGATAATTCAGCAAACAGTTAGTGATATTACAGCTGAGGTAGTTGCATATTTAATCATTTAGTGTTTTAAAATACGATAAAAAGGGTACATTTAATATACTTTTAATTCTCAAGATTTTTGACATGTTATATAATCGGACATATAACCTACCAAGAACCTTTGTAGTGAAATTATAATACAGCAAAATATCCTTTTTTGAGGACAAAATGATATGATCATAAAATGACAGCAGTCGTGTAAATAAATAGTTATCCAATAAAAAGCAATTTAACAAACATACAGTATAGTAAATAAATATATACCCAGTACTGGTATACATAAATACATAAGTAACACAGCATACATATTATATTTATTTACCTTAGTTTATTGCAATGGAACTTTATTCTGTTTACGAACAGAACTTAAATTGCTAAGTCTATTAATTTCGATACATGTTTCTAGGAAGATGAGCAAAACGGGGCTTGTGGAGGGCAAGTCATGTCTGTTGAACGTGGAACAACTTTCAAAGAGGCATGTAAGAGAAGTGGTTGTGATGAATTAAATACAAATGCCTTGCTACAAAAGTTGATTTCAAAAGGTAAATCCGTTTAGGTTTAATGAATTATGTGATAATAAATATTTCATAACCTATAAAACATGTAACATGTAAGAGCAGTATTTGCTCACGGCAAGAAGATAAATTCTAATGCTTTTGGGGTGATACGTCAAGGTCACAGATTTAGTTTCTTGTCGATTTTTGATAAACATACGAGTACATATGTGTATGTCATACGTTTCATCCAGGTGTGTATGGTTTTAATGTTCGTGTTTAAATCGTTTATTATAATGTTATCAACAAACAATTTCTTTTAATAGGATATTCTAATGGTATTGGTCCAATGTTAGATGTATTAGAAACTGGATCAATCAAAGACTCCCCTCTCCGATTAAAGCTGGAAGAAAAACTAACTGGTAATAAGATTAACTGTATCACAATTACGATTAAAATTGAAGCTAGAAGGAAATGTTCTTCGCTTTTATATTTTATTACCTCTTAATTATAAGTTTAAAAATTCATAAGCAGGAATATATCAGTTGGTTGCTTTGTCAATATTTATTTTCTTTCTCAATAATGTTTATACTTATATTTTGAAAGTGTTCTGAAATAACATGAAGCTCTTACTGTCGAGTAATCGTATAATTACATTGATGTCAATTTATTGAATGTTATTTTGATGTTCCTTTTGTGTTGCAGGTTATCGTCTGGATGAAAATGCAACATTGAGAAAAAAAGTTTTTTGTAAAAGTGAAAATTGTAAAGAAAAAAGAAATTATTTGATCCTACCCTACCGTCACGATTATTGTATGACTTGTGTGAAGAATTACCAGAGGTGCCCTACATGTAATGGTCCGATCAACGAAACAGTTTCAATATATTTAATTTGAGTCAAAACGAGCAAAATAAAATATTTGTAAACAAATATTGCTTGCATGACTTTGAGAAATAAATATACTGAAACAAAAAAGAAACTTTCACCAAGTTTGAATGTAGATATGTTAGTACAGTTTTCAATCCTTTTGAAACTCGATTTTTACGTTGAATAAACATATCGGGCTTTTATACGGGGATAAGCTGACCGATTTTGCAAAAAAAAAAACCGAGTTTTACAAGCTACCACATGCATATATGTGTGTACATCTTAGTGGTACCCTTGAACAACTGGCACAAACTTTGCGAAAGTTTCTTTTTGGTTCAGTATACATATGACAAGATGTGCATTATTGAATACACAGATTATCAGACTGTTATTGCTGAACTAAGTGACAGAGATTTGTGTTGATAACTTTCACGATGTGATGTACCCTGTTTGTGCCGGACCGAACATCTGATGCGTTCATTTTCAGACTGCATGGCAATTATATCATAAACTCACATGCATTGAAAAATGAACATTGTATTTAACTAAACACATTCTTTTTCAACACAATCATATAATGGTAAAGATGTTGTACAATTTGAGCCGCGTCACGTCAAAACCAACGTAATGCGTTTGCGCCCAGCATGGATCCAGACCAGCCTGCGCATCCGCGCAGTTTGATCAGGATCCATGCTGTTCGCTTACAAACCCTATTACAAGTAATGAAACTGATAGCGAACAGCATGGATCCTGATCAGAATGCGCGTATGCGCAGGCCGGCCTGGATCCATGCTGGTCGCAAACCCACTTTGTTGGTTTTGTCATGACGCGGCTCATATATCGGTAAAGATATTGCACAATTTGTATTATCATTGTCTGCTACGAGTCCATCTGTCACGTGATACGTTTTTAACGCCCATAGGTTACTTTGGTTGTGTTTTGGTTTAGCACTTGTCTTTCCGTCTGTTCGGGTACATTCACCTGATATAAAGGATTGTGTGCCCGTGTGAAAGTTGTCACTTTGAAGTTCATTCCGTCCGAATTAAGTGTACGCAATACTTATAAGCTAAAATAACTCATTGGGTGCAAAAATGAATGCTTGTTGGGTTGTAAAGATCGAGACAGATCAAAGAAATAATTCCAAACGTCAAATCAGTGAGAGCGTCCGTACATTTGTCTGTTCGTTAGTCGTATCGATTTCCGCTCAATAACTTAAGACAATTAAATGTTTTGTAGGAAAGAATGTCTTAATCAGTAGACGGCCACTATTAACTAAGCGTTAAATAGGTCAAAGGTCAATAAAACAATGATTGTTTAAATGCTTTGATTAGCTGATGGCCTCCTGCTGAAAAAGATGCCAGCTTGTTAAAAATAAGCTTCTTAACGGCTTAGTATTTTATATTATTAATAATATATGTATAATATTTATACATGTATTATTAAGTTTGTCCATTATAAAATTTGTCAAAATCATTCCGATTTGCAGAATATGATCAAAATATAAATCAGCTATAATCATAATTTCATCCGCATCTGTATTGTTGATTTTGATTTTTTGATTTTGTTGACACCCTACAGAAATTATAGTTTAACGGCTTTTTACAAAAACGGTTAATACTTTCCAGTCTGCTGCTCGTAGTGTCCGTCGGATCTTCGTCTAAAAAGTAGTCTTTAAAAACACCTACTATTCAACTGCTTGGTAGATTCAGATGAAATTATACAGAAATGGTCCTGAAGACAGGGCTGATTTTGAGAAATTGCTTTTGATAGTAACAGTGTTATTGAGAGTTGTAACGGGTATGTCCAAGCCAAGAAAATATATATATATATGTATATCAAGAAAATAAAACCTTCAAAACGTCAAGTTAAAATGGTCGCTAAAAATACTAGATATGTGAATAAAGAATAAAAATCATTAATTATTCTTTTCCAAATCAAATAATTATTCAGCATTCTCAAAGTTTATATAAATGTTTCAAATTGTCATAAAATTTTACTTGTTAACTCCCCTAGCGTACGGCAGTAAAATTAGATAAATACACAATATGAAATCAAATATTTTGTTATTCTCCTTTGTTGCTGTTGTTATTGTTATAAGTTAACAGTAAGTTTTGAATATATTAGTATTGTGTATAATGAAATAGGTAGTATCGTTATATGACAGTGTAAAATTTATACATGAACATTATCCATCACATATGATGGCTCAAACGTGCTAAAAACTTGATTTATTAGATTTGTTACTATGAATGAATACGGTTTTTTATATTAAAATAACAAGTAACACAATTCAATATTGATATCGTCTTCAGTGTATAATGTAATAAAATGAATTCCACCAAATTTATGTTGACCAACAAATATATGTGCATGACTGACACTTATAAAAGATATGACTACCTGATAGGCCTGCTGCTTTTAACTGTTTTTTTTTACTGCGGATCGCATGTCATATATAACATTAACGTGCTTTTTATGATAATAGTATCATTGCTAGATCATATACCGCACAAAGTTTGTTAAAACATGTATCCGGTAATTTTAAAATCTTATTTAGTCGAAATAGAACGAAGAATAAAAACATAAATCAAATGCGATTACACACCGGTTTGTATTTAACACGATAGATTTGATATACTTTCTTGAAATCATTTAAAATTATTGTAATAGAAATTCATTGACTACACTTGTGTTATTGTTTATTACACCGTGCAACAACAAAAAATTTTTTTACATCCATATAACTCACATAAAATCTAAAACCAGTTCTTAATGTAAAATGTAATTAGTAATTAAGAAAAGGGCGGTGTAATCTTCATTAAGGATATAATCAATGTCACGATGACATCACGTGGGTAATTGTCCGTCACGTATCAATCACATAGACAGATAAATGGAGTGAAAAAATAGTTGTTCAAGTGACAAAGTGATTTATTATATTTATCATTAAAGGCACATTATGCCTCAGACACAAAAACTTTTTTTTAATTCTTTAAAAGAAGAACATTTTTTTAGACAAAATGTTAGACGTTTTTTTACCCCATAAATAATAAAACGATAAAGTAAATAATTTTTCAAAATGTAAAATTTAAAAAAGTATATTTTTTACTTCCATACAAAAATATTTTTTAACTGTATTAAAGTCAAACAGCAAAAGATGAAAAAGACGATACGGTAATTGGCCCAAAGATAACTTTTGGATATATATAAGTACACTTTTTAAATTAAAAAACTTTTTTTAGAAAAAAAAAACATTTCTTAAAACAATAATTATTTTTTAGAGATTAAAACTTTTATTAAAATTACAATTTAAAATTTTTTATTTAACACCCAAACCCGATTTAAAACAACTTTCACTTGAATATGCATATATAAGGAGAGCAAAATTCTTTTGGAATTTTAAAATTCTCCATAAGAGGTTAGACTAGTTTATTTTGTTTTTAAAAAATATAAAATTTACATTTCAAATCTTGAATATCAACGAATATTATTTAGAATCGCACAGGAGATTAAGATACATTTTATATTTCTGCTCATTATTATTTGTTTTAATATTTGGGGTTTATTAGATAAGAACTTTGACCAGATCTAATAACCACGTGGTGATGACCAGCTGTTGTTCTCTTCAAGGACAGTAGTCTAAAAAAAAATCAATTTTGGATGCCTTGTTTACACTAAATATATGTCAAAGTCACTCGGTTTCTTTGAAATAATTAGTAAATAAATAAAAAATTGGATTTAAATCTAGATCTTGAGTTTAAAACCTATAGATTCTATATTTATATGATGTTTCAGCACGTGATCTATACTTAAAATCTAGAGCATTATCTTATGAATGAATAAATGAGCATAGCTATAAAACGGTTAAAAATACAATATTGATTATATGGCTCGATTATGACCGGTCATGTTTTCCAACGGGAAAATTATCAGTCTCATTGAAATCCACGCGCGTGACATCATACCTATGACGTCATTTCATCGAGGCTAAGAAAATAAAGATAAGAGTAATTAGAATCTAAATATATAAAGTAGGAAATAAATAAAATACACCAAAAGAAAAATTGATAATAATAATAATAATAATTTATTTAATTTATTTATTTATATTATTTTATTTTTCGACAATGTTAAAACATCGACAACAACGTGGCCATACACGAGACACGCTCCAACAGCAAGTCAATAAGAGGAGGAACATTCGGACGTCTGTTTCTACAGCCATGCCTCCAGCTGACAGACCTGTAAGGGAGCCCTGTGAAGAAAACGAAATGGATGGCCAATCCGGACCTCCGGTAGATGTTGATCTTCATCATCAAGAGGCTAATAAAGGTGAAGTTAAAAAATATCATGATAAATACTTGTTCCGGTACAATGCTAGGCGCACATGTATCTGTCAGTACTAGAGATAAAATATGGAACAATCAATTTGTAGAGTTTAGTTACACACTTTGTTGCCAAAGAAAAATATGTTAGAAAATATAAAATAAACAAAAGATTCAACTTGTTGACGGGGAACTTATAATGAGTACCCAAGAGCATCCCGAAACAAATTTAAAAAAATAGAAATTTGGTCAGATGCATTCGTGGTATACATGCGTATTTTCATTATGAAACATCCAGAATAAGTCAATAACCTATTACAATATTTTGCAAACATTCGTTTAGCGGCATCAACTTGATCAAGAAATGTCGGATGGTTTGAGTATGATAGGTAATTTAGGCTTAAAAAATTAATCGATTTGGGTATAAAGTGGCAAAATATTGACTCAGAATTATGGATGATATATATGCAGACTATACAGTCCTTGAACCAGCCGGCACTTCTGAATACTCAAAAAAATGTTACGACTTTAATAACAAAGGCTTTTGTACAAATGTATCATGTACTTACAAACACGTTTGCATCAAATTCTTTGGTAACCACCCTTCAATACACTGTTATGCAAATAAACAAACAGCGCAATTCACACCGCGTTATGTATTTATATTGCCAGCTCAAAGAGTGCCTATGGGACCTTGGGTTTTCACCAATTAATATCTAGTTTCTCGCTGATAAACTCTTTCAATGCCCAAATAAGGATGATGCCAATTACATTTTACAAGGATTCAGCACTGGTTTTAAACTCGAATATACGGGACCAAGAATACCTATTTTTTTTTCTCTCCAAAAAATCTCAAATCGGCAATTGATCAAAA